TAAACATCACCTCCTGCTCTTGCCACCCCAGCTGCTCCCTCAGACCAGACCAGTCACTCTCGCTGATTCCAAGTAGCTGTTACCACTGTTTTGTAAGTGGGCTCACGTGCCTGCCTTCCCCCACTGGACTGTCATTTCCTCAGAGTCCCAATGTCCCCAGCACCAGGCTTACCACATGGAGGTACCCCCGGAACTCTGGGGGTGAATAAGGCAGATGTGAGGAACAGTATCAGAACCCTTTTACCCTGATTTCACTTCCAAGCCGTGCTCATAACACTCCTCTCTTTGAGCATCATGACATCTGCTGTGCCCCCCCACCCCAACCCTCCGCATTCCCACCGGCTTCACCCCCTGGTCTGACAGCTCCTTTTTTGGATTCTAAGTCTGTTTAACAAAGGTTCTTTGCTTGATCAAACTTGAATCAGGCTCCTGAACCTTCTCCTAGGCCCGTACATCAGGGCACTTCTTTGTAAAATTCGGTTTTTAGCAAGAACCCTGCAAGAACCCATCCTCGATATCTGATCACCCTTAGCCCCTGACTGGGTTTCTCAGGCTCCGCCACCCCCCTCACCAGCCTCAGCAAGAATCCTGTTACCTTGCTTTCGCCAGAACAACCCCCTCACCCTGGGCGTTTCCTGGTAGTAATTTTCCTTGCACTGCCCCCACCCATTCCTGGGTTATAAATTCCCACTGTTGTCCTCACTGCAGTGGTCCCTGCGCCCATTGTGATGGCTTGAACCAAGTGCTTTCACCCGTGTCAGTGAACTTGATCCCCTCTAACAATTCCATCTCCCCCGGGGACCAGCTGTGTAAAAGGTGCGCTACCCTTCCGCCCTTGAGTTTCTTGACCTCAAATTCTTTGTCCTCCCCACCCTTCAGCCACCCACATTACAAACCTTGTCACCTCCAGAATCTGCCTTACCAAGAAATCTTTAACTTAGCATCTCCCTCTCTGACCACAACATCCTACTGTTCCCACCCCCTCTTACCCTCCCTCAGTACATCACTCCCTCCTGTTTTCCACCCCGTCAAGATCTCTGGCAGCTTGGACCTGCTATTTTTATTATTATTATAATTACTAGAGGCCCGATGCATGAAATTCGTGCAAGGGGCTCAGCCCTGGCAGCCCCAGCTTTGTCCAAAAGGTCGTTCGGCTGTCCAGTCTAATTAGCATATTACGCTTTTATTATTATAGATCATTATTATCAGCCCCATGCTGTCTTTTTGTTTTGTCTTGTTTTTGTTAATCCTCACCCAAGGATATTTTTTCCTTTGATTTTTAGAGAGAGTGGAAGGGAGGGGTTGAGAGAGAGAGAGAGAAACATCGATGTGAGAGAGATATATCGATTGGTTGCCTCCCTCAGGGTGGAGCCTGCAACCGAGGTATGTGCCCTTGACCCGAACTCGACCCTACGACCTCTTAAGTTCGAGAGCCAACACCTTTATACTATGAGACAAACCAGTCAGGGCTCATACTGTCTTGACTTAATTCTTCCATCAACCAGACACATGGTCACTACCTCAGTCCATCTGGTCCCAATACACTCTACACGCTGCCCTTCTGGCACCTCTGCCTCAAGGAACCCTGGCTCTATCTAGCAGTTCCACTTCTGTATGGATGCTCAGCCTTCTAGAGACATTCCCCCAGGGGTGAAGACTCCACAGACTCATGGTCTCCAGTGTCAAGTCCTGGCTCTGCCACTTCAGGCCATGAAATGCTTGTTACTTCATCTCGGCAAGGCTTGGCTTCCTCACTACCAAGTGGGAATCAAGAGCACATGGCTCTCTGGAGTGCGGGGAGGATCGGCGGGGGCATGCAGCACACTGCAGTAAATGTGAGCGACAGCAATTGCCATCATTGCTGATGGCCAACCCTCCACATGAGGGCAAGGGGAGGTTTCTCTGAAACCACTCACAGCGGGTCCAAGCCTCCATCTTCCTTCTCCAGCCCCTCATCCCGCCTCTTCCGTGATCATTCACCACTCAGCTCCTCCTTCATGGAGGAGAAGAAGCCACTGGCATAGGTCTGGGCATTCTGTCTCATTCTCATTTGTCCGCACCCGCTGCCATTCCTAGCTCCATGTTTAGGATGTGCTCTTACCCTGCCCCTGCCCAGGGCTGATTCCCCTCCTTGGCCTTCAGGTGTCAACCTGCCCCTTTCCCTCGCATCGGCTTCCATCAGTGGGTCCCTCACTGTCTTGCACCTTCGACCTCTCCAGTGACCCCGTCCTTCCAGCAACAAAAAAGCGAGCACCTAAAGAGACGTCCACTTCTGAGAAGATGGAGTCAATATCCTTTTCCCGTTCCCTTCTCTAAGTACAACTAAAAACCCAGGGCGTTATAGATAAGACAAACATAGGAAGACTGAAAGGTGGAGAGAGGAAGACAGACTGACTACAGATCCCAGGACTAGAGGAAGTACACAGTGGTGAGTTACCTGAGTTTTCTTTTTCCCTTGTCTATCCCAAAATTGGAGCTGAAGAAGCCAGCAACCAGGACACACCAACAGGGAAGGAGGCAAAAAGCCCTGCTAGGGCTGCTGTAACAAAATACCACAGATTGGATGGCTTCGGTATTGGGATAATGCTTATCTCACAGAGGTAGAAACTGTTCCTTCCTCTTTGACTTTTTAGAAGAGTTTAAGAAGGATTAGTGTTGATTCTTCTTTATATGTCTCATAAAACTCACCACTTAAGCCACAGGGTCCAGGACTTTTCTCGGTTCAGAGATTTTTGATTACTCATTCAATCTCTGAACAAGCGTTATCTGAATACCAAAGCCAGATGAAGAGACAAGAAAACTACAAACCCATATTCCTTATGAGTATTTATTCAAAAATCCTCAACAAAACACGAATAAATCAAATTCAGCAGCATATTAAAAGGAGTAAATACCATGACCAAGTGGGATTTATTCCTGGAATACAGCTATGGTTCAACACCTACAAAACTCCGTCGACATAATATACCATTCAGGAACTGCAGCTACAGTGTTAATAAATCATTACAGGCTTTTCTGCTTGGTATGTGCTTCTTCCACATTTTGCATTCTCATCAGCATGTGACCCTTTCTGACTAAACGGATCAGCTGAGATTGAATTAATTCATTTATTTCAGCAAAAGCATGAGGATGTGCGTGCGGACGGATGGACCTCTCATTCACAGCTGACGGAGGTGCGTGGATGCCTGCTCCCTCTCTAACTATAAGAGGGTGTCTTTCTCTAACTATATTTTAGATCTTAAAATTGTTCATATCTTTTGACCCAGGAACTTCATTTCTAGATATGACCCTAAAGAACTAATCAGGCATATGCGTGCAAGAATATTCAATGTTCTACCAGCATTCATACTGAAAAGTGAGAGAGAGCTGAACCGCCTAACAGTATGTGTGTGGCTAAATCAATTGTGGTAAACCTGTGTGACTAACTGTATGTGGTTATTACAAATTATTCTAGAGAATCGGAATGATATAGGGAAGTACAATGCCATGCTAAGTGAGAAAAATGGAAAACAATTTGATTTCAATTCCACCCAAAAAAAAACCTAGAAGGAAATACTTCAAGTTATAAGTGGTTATTGCTGAGTTGTCTCATTGATTGGGGGTGAAGTCTTGTTTTTATTTTTGTGGTAGTTCTCTAAGTTTTTGTTAGTAACTCTATATTTCCTTTCTAATGGTTTTCATTTATTATGAACTCGTTCAAACATTCAAAAAATAGAAAGAAATGAGCAGATATACCTTAGGTCTCTACCTCATACAATAAAAAAGATAATTCCAGATTAATTAATTCCAGACAGTGGAATGGAGAGACTTTGGTAAGAGAATAGAGAAAAGCCTGTCTGATCTCAAGGTGAAGACCTCTACTGCTGACCTCTTTAGGAAAACATGTGCTGTTTCAATATTCCCGTCTAACAAGCCAGCCCCAAACTCAGTGGCTTAAAGCAGCAACCAGCTTTCCCTGTTGACAGTTCTGCAGTTGAGCAGTTAAGTCTGGGCTTAGTGGAGCAGGCCTTTAGGTCTTTGCTGGGCTCATTCGTGTAACTGTGGCCGGCTGTCAGGTTAGCTGGGGACTGGGTCAGAGGGTGTCTGGGCCACATGTCCATCATCCAGGAGGCCAGCTTGAGCTCATGTACCTGGCAGCTGGCAGAGTTCCAGGCCTCTGAGCTCAGAGCTCCCACAGCCTCACTCCCACCGCATTCCCTTGGCCAAAGCAGGTACTGAGAGTCCAGGAGGGTAGCCATAGTACCACCTCCTGACCGGAGGAGCTGTACAGACATTGCACGGATGCAGGAACGCAGGGAGTGGAGAGATCGCGCCATCTGTGCAATCGACCATAAAGTATAAAATGCACAAACCATAAAGGAAAAGATTGATAGTCTGAATACATAAAAATTAAAACTTCTGCATGAAAAATGACACTATATATGTATTACTTTTATAATCATAAAACAAAGTTACAATAAAGATTTCAGGACACTGCACATTATTTTTTTTTAAAGCACTGAAGAAAATATCTGTGTAAAAATCTCAACTTCCAAAGTGGGAAAATTACTGGGTCAATAATTTCATTATAGTTGGATGCTTCCTCCTCAGATAAGCGTATTACAGACTCAGTCAAATAGTAAAGCCCACCTCCTGCATTTGAAAAGGAATTCCTTCCACAGAAATTCTTATTACACATCTTATTACATGGTACATAATAAATTGTGTCTATTTAAAACTGTAAGTGCTGCCTTAGCTGGTTTGGCCCAGTGGATAGAGCATCGGCCTGAGGACTAAAGGATCCCAGGTTCAATTCTGGCGAAGGGCACATGCCCAGGCTGCAGGAGGCAACCGATCAATGATGCTCTTTCATCATTGATATTTCTATCTCTCCCTCTCTCTTCTTCTCTGAAATCAATAAAAAATATATTTTTAAATAAATAAATAAGTAAGTAAATAAGTAATAAAATTATAAATGCTTCTTTATCGTAATTCTTCTCATTCCAGGAGGATTACCGAATCAGTCACCAGAACCTTGGAGGTCTCCTGCTAAAGAAGCAGGAACGTTGAGGGGCTTGAACTTTCCTGTCTTCAGAGAGAGTGAGTAAGAAGGGACTGGGTCTAAGCACAGACTGAGGGACCTACATTTTTTTTTCTGAGTCAGGGCTCGAAAATCCGACCTTTGCCTTTTGTGTGACTCTGGGAGTGCCCGAAACACCAGCGCCCGTGGCCCCCTCCAAGGCCACGCGTGAACAGTTTGGGTCAGACCATGAGTTACCCGAGTGGCTCATGGCCGTCACAGTGTGAGCAGAGGGGGCTGCGGTGTCTCCAGGACGTGATCACAAATGCAGCCCTGAGCAGCAACAAGCCTGAAAGCAACCTTTCAGCTGAGAGCTGCAGCCCTGGGTCCTTCCTGGCTTGTACCCACAGATGAAAAAAGAAAGGGAGTACCAGAGATCGAGTGAGTGAGGGGGCACAGAATTCTCCGGGTGCCTCCACTCATCTGCCCGCCCTTCAGACCCACCGCGCTGGCCAGCATCCTGGAAAGAGCCCCTCATGTAAACAACACAAGGGTAGTGAGTGAGTCACCTCTGTCTTTGAAGGACCAACCAAGGTGAGAGCTGAGAGCTGATGTAATCTCTTCACCCAGCTTCCTGCCCAAGTGGCTAGAACACCCATCACACCCCCTTGCTGTCTGCTGGCCCAGCTCTGCGAGGGGGAGGGGGCGGCAGCATGGTACCCCACCCCCAAATGTCAGGGCCCTGCTTACATCCCTGTGGCGTTGCTTGACGATAAACATGGCAATTTCGCCTTTACCAATATTTACCTGCACCTCCAAGGGCCACAGGAAGGATTCACAAACACTTGGTTTCTCACAGAAACGCTCTGCAAAGGGGCGAGGGAGGGTCTCTTTCCCTTTTAGCCACCAGCAAAGTTCAGGTTTTAATCTACCCTTCACTCGGGGGAGGGCAAGGCCCCAGGACCTGGGAAGCAAGGGCCTCCCTTCCCCAGTTTGGGGGGAGACTCCAGCCGGCTACCCTAGGAACGTGCAGAAGGAAGTGACTGAGGACCAGTGGCCAAGAGGAGGGCAGTGTGCTCGTGACCTGGGAGATGGGAACGGCTCTCCTGGGGGGTAGTGGGAGGGGGGCGGGGGAAAGGGGTCAGGCACCTCTGGTTTGCTTTGAGTTGATGGTATAGCAAGGAGCGTGGCAGAGGCAGTTCGGTGTTAACAAGGAGCGTGGCAAAAGCAGTCATTTCTGTGAACACTGCCTCCAGTTGCCATGGAGTCCACAGAGGCTGCGATGCTCCTGTGGCAGCTCAGTGCACAGGAAGTGCCTGACCATGTGTGGAACCGACCCTTATCTCAGGTCTAATCTCGGAAGGGCCACTGCATGGGCCCTGGAGGTCTCTTCCTGTGGGCTCAGACTCCCCTTGGGGGGCCCCCTTTTGACACCTACGCCATCCCATCTCTGCGTGGAGTGCAGTCATTTCCCGTAACAGAAAATTTCCAGAATTGCTTCTGAAGTACCCCATCCCCCCAGGCAGGCAGGCAGGTGAGCGGTCAGGAGGCAGCGGTCCTGGATTGCAAGAGGGATGTCTGACTTTGCTTTGGCTTTATTTTGTTGGTTCTGTTTGCTTTTAATAGCCCTTTACACAAATGTATTAGCCTGAATGGGGTCTTGGTACCCCATCCCCCCACCTCAAATCATGGGTGTCATGGAGATGGCAGTGACCTGAGCGGGAGGAAACATTATCTCTGGAAGAGCAGGGGAGCCCCCACGGTGACTGTGGAATTCAGTCTGTTGTACCCAGAAACCTCTCCCCCAAGAAAAATGATGCTGACTCAGCTGCTGAGAGACTCAGAGACTCCAAGAGGGCTGGGACGCTACAACTGAATAAAAGAGCATGTGTTCAGCCCTGGCCGGTTTGGCTCAGTGGATAGAGCGCCGGCCGCGGACTGAAGGGTCCCGGGTTCAATTCCGACCAAGGGTACACGCCCAGGTTGCGGGCTTGATCCCCAGTAGGGGGTGTGCAAGGCGGCAGCCAATCAATGATTCTCTCTCATCATTGATGTTTCTATCTCTCTCTCCCTCTCCCCCCCTGAGATCAATATATATATATTAAAAAAAGAAAGCATGTGTTCAGAAACCATCACTAGGTCCTCGTTTCTCTCCTCGTGAATTTTGTATGGTTTCAAGGCCCCATGCGAACAGCCCTTGCATGAAGTCTGCCTGCGTCCCTCCATCCCCAGCTGCCCCTGGTCTTGCCCACCTCCCACCACTCCCCAGCCCAGAGCCTGGGTTGGCTTCTTCTGTGGCACCCTCATACCAACTGAAAAACTGAATGATTGCAACACTTTAAAATGTTCTGACTTCAGGAGCGAGAAGTGGTCACTATAGAACAACCCAAAAAAAGCACAAAGAAGAACATTTTTAACGAGAAGAATGAACCAGACTGAATGTATTGCCCTGCCTTCTACAACACCCTTTTGGTGCTTCTGGACCATGGTTGACTTGAGGCAGCAGAGCACAGTGATGAAAAGTGTGGCTCTGGAGTTGGACTGCCTGCGTTGAAAGGCTCGGTGACCTTCAGCAAATCCGTTCACTTCTCTGAGCCTCAGTTTCCTTATCTGTAGAATGGGGACATCCCTCACGGGTTTGTTGTGAATACAAATGTATCTAAAGCACTTAAACAGTGCCTGGCCCATGGAAGCACCATATTAGCATCCACCATGTTCTTGATTTGTTCACAGTCTCATGGAGTTGAGCATATAAAGGTCAAGGTTACTACTCTAAGTATCGCTGCATTGACCATCATGGTTTTTTGTTTTGTTTTTTTTTTTTAAGGATAAATGGAACTTCTGCACATTTTTAAGGTTTTTATGTGTATGTCAAGTGCCTTTCTATTGACATGGAACCAGTTTTAAAATCACTAATGCGTGTGATGACGGTGCCCATCGACAAGGAATGATGGAACATTTTGAGCAGAGGAAGACCTATCAGGTCATAGAAGGCTCAGCAGTGTCCTACTCATCCACCTATTACTACTCTAGATAGTATTGGTCTCTACGTCAAACCAAGACCCCATTCAGGCTAATACATTTGTGTAAAGGGCTATTAAAAGCAAACAGAACCAACAAAACAAAGCCAAAGCAAAGGGTTTTGTTTTTTTCCACTGAGAGAGGGAAATGCATGGGAGTTGTCTATGCTTTTTAATATTAATTGTATTAGGTGGAAGTTGAAACAGATGTCATATTCTCCCCCACAAATCCAATAAACACCAGAGTTCTGTTGTTTTAAAACAGGCAAAAACACTCCAGCGGCTCTCAAACCAACAAAGGAACAGATGTCACAATATGTACTGCTTTGCAAAGTGCTGTCGAAAACAGAACTAGAATGTTCATTCCTGACGTCTCTGAGTGGCTGCCCCAGAAGCGAGTGATGGCACTGGGGCGGGGAGCAGGCGGAAGTGCACCGGAAGCTGAGTGGACAGAGTGTGCAAAGTGTGACTTAAATCCCCAATTTTAAGGAAGTAGGTGGAGAGGAGCAGTTTCTAGAATAGAAACCCTTCCTTAACAACGTGTCAGGGATAAAACCAAACTCACAACAAGTACAAAGAAGAAAATAAGCATTATTTGCTATCTCTTTCCTCACTGATCACACTCATTAATTTGAATATGTGTTTTACATCATTGAAATCATGTGATACATACAATTTTATATTCTTTTTTCACTATTACATCAAAAAATTATCTCACATCATTAAAAATTTCCCACAAACATCACTTTTAAGAACTATAAAGTATTTGTAGATGATACCATAATTTTCTTATTTCTTTATTGGTAGATATTTTCCCCAATTTTTCTTTCTTTTTTATTGATTTCAGAGAGAGGAAGGGAGAGAGAGAGAGAGAGAGAGAGAGAGAGAGAGAGAGAGAGAGAGAAACATCAACGACGAGAGAGAATCACCCATTGATCAGCTACTTCTTGCACACCCTCCCACTGAGGACCGAGCCCGCAACCCAGGCATGTGCCCCAACTGGGACTAGAACTGGTGACCTCCTTGTTCATGGGTTGATGCTCAACTACTGAGCCACACCAGCCAGACTCCAATTTTCAATATTATAAATAATACAACAATAAAACCACTGTGTATCCTATCTATGTTTTCCAGAGATATACTTCTCTCTTAACTTTTCCTTGTAAACACCCAGAAATAACTATGGCAAATTTTGGAAAAGAGAAAACACTCATATTGTTATGAAAATAGAGGTTAATGGGCTGGTAAAAGGCAAAAATATATTATAACATATCACATTATTAGAATATAATTTTACCCACAAACTTGAGGATATTTGAATCATTTAATTATTTCCCAAATTATCTACAATGAATGTATATTACTTTATAACCAAGGAAACGACAAAAAGAGGGTAATTTGTGGAAAAAAAATACAGGAAGTGTCACTTCAGGTTGGCCAACATATGTGTAATAGGAGTTTCAAAAAAGAAGAGGAGTGAAAATGGAGAAGAGAACATTATCAAAGAAGTACTAGAAAAAGATTCTCCCAGGGCTGAAGAAAGACAAAAGGATTAGTCTGAAAGATCCTGAGTACCTGGTACAATAAACAAAGAATAATTCATAGAAGCAACCTCATGGAATTTCAGAGTTCTGATAATAAAAAGAGATCCTAAAACACTCAGTGAGAGGCAAGAAACAGATAGCCAACTAGAGACTAAGAGGGAGATTGCCATCATTCTTCTCATTAGCAACACTGAGGCTTGAAGACAATTGAGCAACTACCTTCAAAGTCCATAGAAATAATTTTGTACCTAGAATTTGATATCTTGCGAAATGATGGATCCAGTGTCATGCAGGAACTTGGATTCCCATGCAGTTTTTGGAAATAAAATTACTTGATGATGTACTACCCAAGCAAGAAAAGAATATGAGAATTAAAACCAATTAAACCAGCCTTGAAATGCAATTTAATGAAACTCCAGTAGAATGTGCAGTTGGCCTAGCCGAAGGTCTGTATATTTGGAACAAACAAATGATATAATTAAAGAGCTGAAAGGTATTTGTAATATTATAAAGAAGATACATGCTTCTTTGTCAATCAACTAAAAATTCCAGAAAAAATAAGTTATAAACACACACACACACACACACACACACACACACACACATCATGGCCCAAATATAAAACCAACCAAAACGTATGATTTTGTACAGTCGATGGAGCCTAAGAAAAGAAGACCCACTTGGCCTTGACTTTGGAACATTCCCCACTACAGATCCCAACATAATACCTGCTCTGTAGAGACTGATATTTACAATATCTGTACTTTAAATACAGCTTGTTCGTTGGCTTTAAATGATCAGACTTAACTGACAGAACATGGAGAACAAATTTACTAAACAGAAGGCATGTGCTGGAAGCCTTGGCAACATTACAGAGGTGGTATAGCTGAGAGAGGGTGAGGAGTAATGGGAGAGAAGCAGTGGACAGAAGAAAAGGGGTATTAATTTTCCATCTTACATAGAGGGGAACCAAGAGTTACCACCAACAATTAATGGGTCAATAAACAGAAATTGAATATTCTGTAAAATCATAAGGTTAACCATCAGAAGAAATAAAAATACACAACTATCCATGATTTGCAGGTGGGAGAAGGGGATCTATAAGTGAATAAGTTTCTCACCTATTGCAGCTAAAAGTTCTTCGATAGTGCTTGGAGCTGATAATCGAGATGTAGGTGTAGTATGCTACTTAGCACTATCAAGATAAATACCAGAAGAAATAGAAACAGAAACAATCAAATGAAGGAACCTATTAGGAGGAAACTAGGAAAAGAATGGAAAAGAAGACTTACTTTTATGGTGTTCTATGTGTTTTTAATGTTTATTTCCAGGCAACTATATTTTAATAATTAAAAAGCAAAATAAGAAAAATACCAAAGGATTTTAAAGTAGTAGATATGCATCAGGTAAAAAAGATAGAGCAGGTGTTTTTTCCCTCTGTTTTCTAATTATACTGTATGTAATATGGTATTTGTTATTTCCATAATGGAAAAATTCATAAAGAAAAGAGAGAAATAATGCATTATTTTTATCACATCATAGTTAGAAGTTGTAGAAAATGGGGATGACGAGGCAAAGAAATGCACCTAAAATATCTGTGGGAGGATTCTACAACGTCATGAAGGCCAGGCTAGCTGTGTGATCTTGGCTGTCACTTAGCTCCTCTGGTCTCAGTTTCCACCCCTGAAACACTGAGGAGTTGCCTTTAGAAGTTCTCAGGCCAAGTTCAGCTCCAAGAACGTATGAATCTCTGAATTTCCAGCAACTGTGAGCATCGCCATTGAGATCAGTGACCGAGGCAGTCTTGACTACAAAACAACTGGGTCCTCTTTTCTGTTGTTGGGGGGTTATTTCCTCTTGGAAGTTGAAGCTGAGAGGGGCTGCAGACCTCATGTTTTTCTAACAGAATTGCAGTTGTTTGCTCCAACAACAAGTACAAGGTCCACATAGATTATTTGCCCTGGTGTGTGCTCAGAAAAAGGCCAAAGGATGTACCCCAGTGAGGACCAAGGATGTACCCCATGTCCGACCCAAGCCCTAGAAGAAACCTGTCATCATTGGGGCTGTTGCTGTTTTACAAAAAAAAAAGCAGTAAGTGTGTTGAAAGCCATAACCACAATAAAACTGCCACATCAATCCGGGAGGTATTTTTTTTACTAATAAACACAGGAAATCACACACCACCAAGACCCGGCTAGAACCAGATCCCGCTGCCTGCGGGGTTCACCATCTCTCTAAGTCTTGGCATTTCATCCACATTGAAGTTCTGCCTCTAGTAGGTTATTTACAACAGCAACAAAACAGAAATGAAAACAGAAAGTTTGTGGTGAGATCAAGTAACAGATGGCAATTCATTTGCTTGTTGTAATATAGTGTCTGAAATTGTCGGGTCACGTTTTGAACACTGAGGGGCAGTATCTAAGGAATATCCACAGGTCAGTGGTAGATTCTATACTCTTGCCATAGGAAGTGGTCCTCAGAGCAGCGACATCCCGGGAAGCTTTCACATGTACAGAAGTTTAGGCCCCAAACAGACCTGCCCAATCAGACACGGCTTTTTACCCAAATCTCCAGGTGACACGTTTGGGCAATAAAGTTTGAGAGATGCTGGTTTACAAGACCTATGATGTCCACACACCTTCCCATATCAAAAACTGAGGATTTAACTGTACACAAGGTCAAGTACCTAAGTCCACAAAGCTCTCCAAGAAAGATGGTTGTTGTTTTTTTGTAATATATTTTATTGATCTTTTTTACAGAGAGGAAGGGAGAGAGATAGAGAGTTAGAAACATCGATGAGAGAGAAACATCGATCAGCTGCCTCCTGCACACTCCCTACTGGAGATGTGCCTGCAACCAAGGTACATGCCCTTGTCCGGAATCGAACCCGGGACCTTTCAGTCCGCAGGCCGACGCTCTTTCCACTGAGCCAAACCAGTTACGGCAAGAAAGATGGTTTTTGTTGTTGTTATTATTCTTATTATTCCTCCCATGTACAGATGAGGAAACTCAGGGCACTTCCGGAGGACTGGGCTACCAGGAGCTTGCAGAGGAGGCTTAGGGAAGTTAGAAACTTGCTCAAGGTCATAGGTAGCAAAGGGCAGAATTGGGATTTGAAACAAGATCCCTTTGAAGCCCAGACTCGTATTCTTAGCCATTACTTTCCGTTGCCTCGCTAGAGTTGACTGTTTTCAAGGGACTCCAGCAGGCTGATATACAGGCTGCCACCAATGAATTCAGTCGGTAGCATGTCAAGAACCGTTTTCCAGAAGACCATCCTTAGGAGACATCCTCAGGAAACTTCTTTCTCACTCCTCCCCTGACCATCAGGGGTAGATATGGATGTCCTGGAAGGGATCCTGCCCAGAGTTTTATACTAGAGAGTGTGACCCTTCTAGGCAACTGAGTCTGAGTTAGGCAGCCCTAGAAACAAAGCCTACGAAATGCCTGTGTTTAAAAACAGAAGGCAAAGCTTCCGGGAAGGATGGCCTATTTTATGATACCTTACGGTTTCAGAATGACTGTGGGCCCCTTCACCTACCTCCTGTGGGCTAAACACCATCATCTACCCTTTGACACTCGGGTCTAGAAACAGAAGGGGAAGGCGTAGAGGCAATTGCAGCTGGCAGGAACCTTAATTTTCAAGAACCTAGGTCAAGCTTCCCCGAGCCCCTCATGATATGACTTGGGGACATGAGGGTTTTCTAGAAAGTCATGCATGCTTTTCCTGGGAGGAAGGGCGGGGGAAGGAAGTGGGAGGATCCAACAGCGATCTTCTCAGCAGTCCATTCTTCAGCCCCACTTACTTGGTGACACCAAATGGGGTTCATCTTCTCTATGTGCAAGAACTAGATTCAGCTGCAAACAATAGAAATGATGATGATCCGGATGATTGTGATGATGGCTTAAATCAATGCTCTTCAAACCATCATGTGCTCGTGCATCACCTGTGAACCTTGTTGAAGTACAGATTCTGATTCAAAAGGCCCGGGGCAGGCCCTGAAGTTCAGCTTTCCTCACAAGCTCGTAGGGGTGCCCGTGTTGCTGGACCACAAAGCACACTGAGAAGTGAGGGCTTCAACGAGGCACAAGCTTACTCCTCACTTAGGTACAGAGCTCCTGGAGGCTGACCCTCCAGCTCTAGGGCACCATAGCAGCCTCAGAGGCTCTAACTCTGAGCTCTCTGTTCTTCTCTCTTCAGCACGTGGCTTCCATCCTTAAGATCACCTAGCGATCCAAGAAGGATCCTGGAGACCCAGCCCATCCAGCCATGCTGCAAACCTGCAGAAGAGTTTCTACTAACCAAACCAGCTCCTCTGAAAGAAGGTATGTGGGCCTTCTGCTTTGTCCCTTGGCCACTCCTAACCTTCATAGGAGGGGAGAATGGGGGCTGATGGGCAATTAGGATGTCTGCCCATCTCTTCATCCCACCCATCTTTCCATCATTTTGAAACTTTAGAGGAATACGACCTTGGCAGCCCCTCTTTTCCAGAAATTACTCTGGGGAAGAAGAAGCTGGGCCCCACTGTGCATTGTCTGGGTGACTGTGAGCCATTGGGTAGGAGCCAGAGAGAATAAATGAAAACATGCTGACAGCAGGGCAACAGGGAAGATGAATCCAGCGGACTGGTCTGAATTCTGCTAGAGTCAGGCAGAAAAGTAAAAGACCATGGGCAGACCTTGTGTCCCACATTTGGTCTTGCTTCTGACACTTAAGTTCTACTTTATATTACCCCCATGGGCCTGACAGCCTCTTTTAGTCTCCTTGGAACACAAGTCCTTTCTGCCATGTTCCAGCTGGACTCTTCCCACTCTCCCTCCATGCCCGGAAGTGCTCCAGCCAAAGCCTGGAGCCTCGCTTTTGGCTCATGCCACTAGCACCTGGTCTTAACCATTCTGGGGTCCCTTCTCATGCTTTGACTAGAGCCTCCAGCGCTAAAACCTGCCAGAATCATCAGAAGTGGCTGAAGCCAATTCCTTAATGCTTTAGGTATTTTTTTCTATGCCCAATGCCCCTTTGATTGAAACTGCCTAGCATACAGCCCCTAACCCACCTACCCACCCATCTAGGGAAAACAGTTCTGGGATAACTTTTGGACAGGGGTGACCACAGAGGGGACCAGGAGTGGACACCCTACTATAGATTGCTAGTGGCTTACGACATGGTCTGATGCAAAGGGAACTGAGAAAACTAAGATGGTAACATTAATTGAGCCAATCAGAGTCCCTCACCAGGGAATTTAACATGAAGTTACAGGATAGAAAGAGGCAGTTGTGATTGCCACTGAGTCAGATTAAGGATGCCTCAAACTCCCATTGATGATGTCCCCAGCTCTCAACACCACTGAGCTCAGAATTTCCAACCTAGTGTTATTCATTCTGCTTGTTATCTAGGAACTCCACAGATATTCAGACAAACACAGTTGGCATCCTTTTCTATTCATCTAGTGAAAATGATCTGTGACATCTTACGATGTACACAGTTAATGCTGTGCGAGTTTCTGGTTTTGATGCCTGTCCTGCCGTAGTATATGTCCCTTCCTGGCTGAAACTGCCCTTCCCACAGGTATTCTCTGTGCTAAGGTGGTCACTGATTGGGCCAAAGGAGCCCAACCATAGGCTTTCCAGTTGAGGCTGCTGACTTGTGTTTTCCTAAAGGTAACAGTGGCTCAGCTGCCATGGTCAAACCCCAATAACATGGTTAAAACAAATCTATGTTTACTTTTTTCTCTTGTGGAAGTCTACGCTAGTATGGCAGCTCTATTCAGCAAAGGTGTCAGGGACCCAGGCACTTTCTATCTTGTTGCTCTCCCAACTCTATAGTTTTGTCCTCATCTTCACTGCCCAAGATGGCTTGCAGCATCCACATTCCAGTAAGTAGGAAAGGGAAAAGGACCCTGAAGGACATGCCCCTTCCCTTTAAAAGCACAACCTGGAAGGTGCATAGATAACTTGCACTCACATCCCATTGACCAAAACATGAGCATATGGCCTCACCCAGGTGCAAGGAAGGCTGGGAAATGTTAGTCCTATACTAGTCAGCTATGTGCCTAGTGAAAAATCGGGGTTCATATAAAGTAGGGTTACAGTTGTGAGTACACAAAACACAGAGTTTATTATTTATTAATTATTGTATTATTTTCCATACAAACAACCATAAACCTATTTTTGCCCCACCCTGTATTCTGTGCCTCGCTAAAAATTGGAAGTTCTATTATTTTGAAAGAGAATGAAAAGGAGGGGGCAGGTCCAGTCTCGGCTGGTCAGACCAGCTCCGTCTGGATTCTGGGGCTGGAGAAACCAGAGATGATTACTTATTGAGAGTAAGAGGAGATGGAGGGTGACAGGCCAAAAGAGTCACAGCCATGAGGCTCATGAAAGAATTCAAGAGCATGGATACACCCCAAACCACCTGTGACACCGACAGCTCCCACTGCTGCTCTCTGCTCTCCCATAAGGTGTCCTCTTGGAAAACGCCCTTCTCTTAAGGAGGGTGAGACACTCTGAAGTCTTTGTTGCAGGTCCAGGGCAGTCCTGTTGGAGGTGAGGTTCAAACAGTGTTTTAACAATGCTCCTATTCTCCAGATGAGATAACTAAACCCTAGGTCAGTGATGGCGAACCTATGACACACGAACTCATTTTTTTGGTTGATTTTTCTTTGTTAAATGGCATTTAAATATATAAAATAAATATCAAAAATATAAGTCTTTGTTTTACTATGGTTGTAAATATCAAAAAATTTCTGTATGTGACACGGCACCAGAGTTAAGTTAGGGTTTTTCAAAATGCTGACACGCCGAGCTCAAAAGGTTCGCCATCGCTGCCCTAGGTGCTTCATCATCTGTCCTCAGGCAAAGGAGAAAACTGCATGAGAATCTGCTGCTTCAGCCTCTTGATCAGAGATGAAAACAAGCCATCGGTACACGTACACGATGCTATCTGGCTTCCTCTGTGTGGAAGGTGCTGATAGAAATCAAGAGGGTCCTGTTTGCCAAGACCACAAGTTCCGGGTAAGTCAGCGTAGAAATACATCAATAAATGAGATGTGAAGCTGGGTATATCAACGGACACTGAACACCTGACACACAGGCCTCACTGAGGCTCCGAATGTGTGAGGCCTTTGTGGAGACCACTGAGCAGTTAGCCACAGTGCACACAGTAGGGCCTGAGGACAAGTGGGAAAGGAGAGTGCGGTCAGGACCTGGGCCCCAGCTAGCGCCCAGGGGACAGGATTAGTCTCAGGTCCTGGGGCCAGAAGTCCTTCTCAGAAGGCAGAAATAGTTCCTGAAGAGGAGAGCCAGTATGATACCTTGCCTGACAATATAACTTTCAAAAACAAGACATCCAAATCACTTCTCAGGCCTTAATTGATTTGCAATATGCCTGATCTGGCAGTGGGCAAGTCCAGAGGTCATAGGCAACCCGCAGCCCCAAGTGTGGGCGTCTGCCAGACACGCTGGCCACAGGCCAACTGCACTGGAATTCTGAGGTCTCTGTTTGGGCTTGGATGGTCCTTGGGTTTGGATTCAGACATGCTGGGCAGCATGGAGAGGACACAGTGGGTGACCATGGTCCATATCAGCGAGCACCAGGGGCTCCAGCAGCGCAGGGCTCCCACAAAGAGTGAAAGTTTGGTCCTGTTCAGCAACTACTGACAACTGTTGATGGTGAAAAAAATTAATCAGATACTTAACTCTCACCAGCATGAGCGAAAAAGGGAATCTGTGGGCTGCATAAGCAAACCGCGCAAAGTACGGCGGTACAGCTGGACCCAGGGACGGCCAGATTCAGAGATTCAGCTGTTATCCAGACTTCTTCCCCAGGTTGGGCTGCTATAAAAAATGCCACAGACTTGGTGGTTTAAACAGCAGGCATTTCTTTCTCACAGCTCTGGAGGCCAGGAAGCCTAAGATGAAGAAGCTAGCATGTTAGTGTGTGGGGAGAGCCAGCTGCCTGGCTTGTAGAAGGCTACCTCTTGCTGTGTCCTCTCCTGGTCTCTTCTCTGTGTAAGTGAACATGGGAAGAGAGCGTGAGCTCTGGTTTCTCTTCCTCTTCCTAGAAGTGTGCTAATCCCATCATGGGGGCCCCAGCCTCTTGACCTCATCCAAACCTAACTACCTCCCAAAGGCCCCACCTCCTAATACAGTCACATTGGGGTTAGGACTTCAACATCTGAATTTGGTGAGGGAGGGATATGGGATATAACCATTCAGTCCATGACAACTTATGTCTCTGATTTTCTTTGCATTTTGAATTCATTCTCACAATGTAGCTTCCCCCCACATGGCAAAAGCCATGAGTGCATGCAGCTTTAGACCTAAATACTAACGAGGAGAGAGTGTGGGTTGAAAAAATGCCTCCAGCAAGTCTCTTGATTGGCTTTGCAAGCCACTTACCTATTCCTGGACAAACACTTTGACCAAAAGAATGTTGCTACTATGATTAGCCCAAGCAGGTCACTGATGGTTGGACTGGGAAGAAGCAGCTTGCCCCCCAAATGAGGAGTGCTGCTGGAGGCCTTCCCAGCAACAAATGTCCATCACTAAGGGAGCTGAGGGTGAAAGGGATGAAGTGGGAGCTGTGCTGAGCTAGCGAGTGGCACTAATGGGGAATCTGTGAGAGATGCCTGGGGTGCCTAGAAATAATTCAGGGGATGTACTTTGTAAGGGGCTGAAAACCATGAAATAATGTCTTGTAAGCCAAAGAAATGCTGTTTATTACTATTAATATAGAGATTGGGGTGTTCTGGTACTATGATGTCTACCATTGACTTTGAAATTCTTCAACACTGAAAGTGCGATATAAGGGTGAGTCACTCCTTTTAATCCACACCCTAGAGGACTCCTGTCACCCTAACTATGGTGACTCAAGCAGTGGTCATTAGAATTTAATCAGAAGGCCATTTGTGAGGCAATCCCTCTTCTGGATATCCACCCCAAAATTTTGAAAACATTTATTCATAGAGATATATGTACCCCTATGTTCATTTTAGCATTATTCATAGTAGCCAAGACATGGAAATAACCAAAGTGTCCTTCAATAGATGTTTGGATATATATATAACAGAATACTACTCAGCCATAGGAAAGATAAAATATTGCCTTTTGCAACAACATGAATGGATCTTGAGAATATCATGCTAAGCAAAATAAATCAGATGGGAAAAGTTAAGAACCATATGATTTCACTCATATGTGGGATATAAAAGCAACAAATGAACAAACAAAAACTTACAGACACAGACAACAGTATGGTGATTACCAGAGAGTAAGAGGGGTAGAGTAGAAGAGGGGAAAGGGGGTCACATATACGGCGACAGAAGGAGAGTTGACTTTGGGTGGTAGGCACACAATGCAATATATAGATGATGCATCATAGAATTGTACACTTGAAACCTATATAATCTTATTAACCATTGTCACCCCAATAAATTTAATAACATTTTATCGTTTAAAAATATTTTTATTGATTTCAAAGAGGAAGGGAGAGGGAGATGGAGGTACAAACATCAATGATGAGAGAGAATCATTGATCAGCTACCTCCTGAAAGCCCCTGGGGACTGAGCCCACAACCCAGGCATGTGCCCTGACTGGGAATCGAACCTCCACCTCCTGGTTCATAGGTCTACACTCAACCACTGAGCCACGCTGGCTGGGCTTAATAAAATTTTGCAAAGAAGAAGGCCATAACCAAGAGGTACTCCCACAAGTGCTTCAGCTGTCTTTATCTCTGATCAATACCAGAGGTCCTGTTAATTAGCATAATGCATGGAGAGATGGGCTTTCATTGGTGAAACATGGAGAAACTCCACAATACATAAAAACAGGGTATTAGACTCTAGTGAGCCTTCCTCCTTCCCTCTTAGGAACGCTGCCCATGGCCTATATCCAGCTGCTGATTCCAGAGAATATGGGCCAGCCTGAGTCTGATTGTGTGGTGCGCCAATCCCACTATGAGAGTCTTGTCACATTTGCCCCCAGTGAAACTTTCTTTCATGCACAGAGCTCCCTACAGAAGAGAGTTTGGACTTTATCGAGCACACAAGGCGGAGTGATTGGTTTGTGCCTACTCGCTGATAAACATCTGTTGGGGGAAGAACTCAGCGTGAGACTTGCTTGTCTGGGGACCTGGAGCAAGGCTGCAGGGAGGAGCTGGCCCTTACTCCTGTAACTAGTGGTGGCTGCTGATAGTAACCAAAAGGAACCCCAGGGTTCTATGTGACCAAAGTGGGGAGTAGAAGGTGCCCTTGCAAGCCCAGGGGCTCATCAGTTTTCCTCAGAAAGATCTGTCATGCATTAGGTCTTAGGGTTCCAGCTGGGGCAGGAGTCCAACCCCCAAAGATGGGTAAAACTGTTTGGTACAAGGCAGGACCTACTCAGAGTGAGACTGAGAAATGAACAGGTGTCCATGAGGCAGAGAGGAGGCAACCCAAGAAATGAGGCAAAGGCCCAGTAGCCAGAAATGGAGGATGACCTTGGGACCCGAGGATGACCTTGAATGTGGGCCTCAGAGTGGGCCACAGCCCTCTTAGAGACCTGGCAGAGGGGAGCTTAATGTTGGATGGTGGTGGTGGGGGGGGGGGGGCTGCAGAACTGAAACCAGGCCAAGGCTGGCAGCTCTCTACCCATCCAGGGACACCCGGACTATCCCAAGGAAAAGCAAAGAGATTGGAACTCCTGATGCCTCACTCTAGTGACAGCTTTGAATCATGAACCTTTCTCTGCACGGACCACCATGTTAAAGATCATTGCAAAGACTGTGGAGAAACATCTCTGTAGCTACTGGCATGAACGTTTCTTTGAGAAGAAAGGGTCTTTGAGAAGTCTACTTTTCAAAGGGTGGAAAGGGAGTTTCCAGCCTTGACTTTGAGTGCCTCCTACATTTTCTGCAGAAGGAAGGGGCTTTTCTGGAAGGCAAAGGAGGGAGGAAGAGGGGGAGGGCTGGTGTCAGGTCAAAAAGGCAAGGAAGAGAAGAGAGTTGCGCCCACAGCCCACAGGAAGGTCTCAACAAACCTGCTGAACACAGATGTGTGAGGTTAACTGGCCCTGCTCCCCCCCCCAACCCCTGAAATCTTTATCAAATTCCGCACTGCTCATTAATGCATGTGTACCTCCTACTCCCTATTGAGTCATGAGTAACCACACAGTTCCTGCTGGTTAATACCAACTACCACTAGTTAAAGGAGTTGAAAGTCACCTACCACCTGCTCCCTCCCCACCAATGCCCCTTAACCTCACTCCAGGTCACCCGAAGAGCAAGTCTCAGAATGAATTCTGCCCCAAATACTGATATTTGTTAGCAACCAGGAAATCCTTTCAAGTGCAAGGAAATCGTTTGGGGCCACAGAGAGGTGGTGAGGATGAAAACAGAGACCTCAAGCGAAGACGAACATATCTTAGTGAGAACTGATGTAGATGGCTTTCTGCATATTTCTTTATACACACCTAGTACTTCATCCCAAATCTTATTGGAGTCAGGGACTACTTATTTTGCTTTCACAACCGCATGTGACCTCACTCCCCAACCAGCAGGGGAGAAATATGATAAAACGTGAACAGCATACAAATGAGCCTTCTGCACTGTGAAACGTGAATGACTCTGTTCTGCGAAGCTGTAGATATTGAAGGTGTGACTATGGGATGTTGTACCTTCCAAACCAAGCATTTCCACCCAAGGTGTCCCACAGGAAGATCTATAAGGAGACACCCTGGAGGAGACACAAAGGGACGGGCAGGCTTCATCTGTCCAGCTGTAGGGGAGGAAGGAGGTCCTGTCCAGCTGCAGCGGCAGAGTGTTTGGCATCTGCACGGTCCAACACACGGAAACCAGGTGAGCATCCGGTGCTGGGGTCCGGCCAGCCATGCACCAAGAGGTGCAGAACTCAGAACTCAAGAAAGAGGACCCCAACGACAGAGCCTTCCAAATTCAGGAAGATGGCGAGTGTGGGTAGAAGGGTACCTGGGACAACAGTAGGTTGGTTATAAGGCTGCAGCCACTAGAGTGAGATTTGGGAAGAGCAGAGGACTCCAGCTCTGAGCAGAAACTGAGGATAACAGGAGCTATAAGAGCGGGTTCTGGAGGGACTGAGCCCGTGACAGGTAGAGGTTAGGGACGGAGAGTGAGAGAAAATCCCAGTTACCAAAAACCATGTCAGGTCAGGGCACACTGGCCAATCCTGAGGCTTAGGCCTGGCATGTTGAGCTAAATCTCTTTGAAGGCTCCTTCCTAAGGTCAGGGCTAATGCCAGAAACAGAAGGTTTTTCTTTCTTTTTTTTTTTTTTATTGATTTCAGAGAGGAAGGGAGAGGGAGAGAGAAATAGAAACATCAATGAAGAGAGAGAATCATTGATCAGCTGCCTCCTGCATGCCCCACACTGGGGATCGAGCCGGAAACCCAGGCATGTGCCCAGACCAAGAATTGAACCGTGACCTCCTGGTTTGTAGGTTGATGCTCAACCATTAGCCACGCTGGCCAGGCAGAAGGAGTGTTTTAATTAGGAGGCATGCAGCTGCAAGTAACCAGAAGCTGAACTAAAAGTGGCTTTAACGAGGAAATCATTGACTCACAAATGAAAAGACAGTAGAACAGGCCTACGGCTGACCAATACAGTGGCTCCAACTCCACCTTTTGCTGACTTTTTTTTTTACTCTGTCTGTCATGGGACGGTGGCTTCATCTGCAGGCTTCATCCTGCCATGCTGGCCTTGGGTGTGGACAGGGTGACATTGCAGGGTCAGCTCCCTTTGGGGCTATGAACCATGTGGGCAGGGTAGACACCTGCACGAAATCATTCTGCTGTTAGGAAGAAGGAAGGGAACGATACCGAAGGCAGGATGAAGTGCAGGTGGGTGGCTGACTTGAGGTCTTCCTGCTGGTCCTCTGACCAGCTGTGTGAGCTGGGGGAAGCCACTTCCACTCTCGAGGCCTCCTATTTTTCATCTTATAACAAAGAGATTGATCTAGAGCAGTGATGGCGAACCTATGACACGCGTGTCAGAGGTGACACGCGAACTCATTTTTTTGGTTGATTTTTCTTTGTTAAATGGCATTTAAATATATAAAATAAATATCAAAAATATAAGTCTTTGTTTTACTATGGTTGCAAATATCAAAAAATTTCTATATGTGACACGGCACCAGAGTTAAGGTAGGGTTTTTCAAAATGCTGACACGCCGAGCTCAAAAGGTTTGCCATCACTGAT